TTTACACGTTTTCCTTTCCCCCCCCCCAAAAAAAAAATATTTCTGCCTTTTTGCTATTACAGAATTGTTAGGGATAATGTTTCTTTAGGATTTTAGACATTGCAGCTTGAAAAGTTTAGAAGGATTTGAAGGCAAGATTTATAGGCCCATGATTCTAGAAGATTTCAGAAATATGTGACAAAATGAAAAATGTCTACATAGTGTTAACACATAATGGATGTATTTTACAAAAAGTTTGCGATGAATTTCTTACTTTTTGGAGAACGTCTGGAAGAGCAATGGAAACATAATATTTGATTGTTTTACTTCTGATACTAGAATCTTTTTCTTAACATGTTTATTTTCCCTTTATTTTCTATTCTTTTCACTAGACACAAGCATGGAAAATATCAAAAATGCTTCTAATCTTATCACAAAGACAGGCATTATAGAAAGGAATTTTTTGTTAATAAAGAAATTGAAAACTGACAATTTCAAAGATTCATCTACTATGCCTTAATGCATCATACACAAAGCTGGCACTAGGCATTTTCTCACCTGATGTAATCTCTGTGGATCCTAACGCTTTTCTAAATTCTAAAAGTTTTGACATTTCTAGATTTTGTTGTTCGGTATGCAACTAAATTCTAAAAATTCTACCACACCAGCCCTTACCATATATATTTCATATTTCTTTTGAATGTTCATATTACTAAAGAAATAAAATTAGTGCCTTTTTCTATACAATCTAAATGCTTTTTTTTTTTTTTTTTTTTTTTTTTTTTTTCTTCTTTCTAAATAACAGAAATCCTTAATTAAGTCCCAATTCTAAAATGGAAAAGAAATGTGTTGAAGGAAGAAACTGAATACAGAAAGAAAATTATTCTTCAAAGATATGTAGAGTTATTATTATGTAAATTACACAATCGTTTATAATTTCAGCCTTTACTATAATTTAACATTTCCATTTCCTCATGTGATAGAGTTGCTGAGCCAGCTTAAATTAAAATTAATTTGCATAGTCTTTGACCGCTAGTCCACTTTTTAGTTTGAATTTGACTGTTCTTGTTTAATTACATCATCGTAAGCTGTAATTGATTTTGTTCAGCATCAGAACGTGCCTTTATGTTCTTTTTAAATAAGAGGCTTATATAAACCTTTGTCTGACATTGTAGTTACTTTCAGATATAACGATAACATGCTTCACGTTTGTCGGGAGGTTTTGGGCTATTTAACAGATCAAGTAAACCCTCATAGCTATATTAGGAGATAAAGCACACAGAAACTAGTGAAAACATTGGTTTGTGTATTGAGACAAATTTCTGATTGTTAAAAATCTAAGAGAAAATTGATATAAATTAGCCATGTCTAATGAGGCTTCAAATTAAAAAGATGCATAACTATTTGTTGGCATTAAAAAACATAAATGTTTGTAGCTTTTAATGTTATATCCTAAATCATTTAAGATCAATGTCATAAATTACATGTATTTTAAATTGAAATTATTAGATTGTTTTTTAATAGGCCTATTAACAAATATGTTAAAGAAAATTTAATAGTGGCCATGTAAATTCATAATGACTAGGTTATCTACTACCTAATGATATTTATAGCTAACTGCTTAGCCTAAATTATCGTTGCATTTAAGCCGAGTATTCTTTCATTATCCTTACCGTGGTCAAAGATAAACACAAAAATGTAAATTCATGTAAAACTTATTCTTTGCATCTAGTGAGACTTAAAATAATTCTAAACAACTTATCACCTTTGGTGCTTTAGTGGATTATTGAAACTTTAAAGTTTATTAACTGGGTTACAATCCCTAGAACTCTACACGAAGCTATGACACTAACTGAATCAGACAGAGCCCAACTAAACTTCAAAACTTGCCAATTGTGCCTACATCAGGCCTTTCAGGTTTGTTCTAATCAGCAGGTCTCTCTCTAGACAAGCAGCAGCAGTGACCTTTTCTTATGAATCATGCTGATTATGATCTTACTTCTCATTTTAATCTATGCTGCTTGACATAAAATCTACCTTCTATTTACTAAACCTCTAGACTAAGCAAGTATGTGACAAAATGGATTAAAAAAAAAAAAAAATCAACATAAAGCTAACTGTTAGTAAAACATAAATAAAATGTCACTTAAATATGTCCAACTTATGAGCGTAAATTTAATGCTACTTGATATTTCATAAAGTTTATTTTTTCTCAAACTTATAATAATTTTGTTAATTCATGTTAATAATAATGCATCCGACGGATCTATTTTATTTTTAGGATGGTATTACAAAAGTGAAGTTCAGGCATAATAATTTTAATTGAATTATTCAGTTCCATTTGCTCATAATCCTTAATTTTTTTCATTAATGTCCTTAAAACACTAATTTCCATGTGTAGGAACCCTGTCTTCATATGGTTCCTTATCTCTGCAATAATATTTGAAAATCTATCGCTTCTTTATGTTATATATCATTAAATCATTAAAAACGTAGTAGCATTTAGAACTAATATTTCACAAGACCAGAAATTGAAATTCATATTTAAAATTTTTAATTCATATAATGCAACAAGAATTTTAAATGTTAAACCAAAACATTTCAAACGCAAATTGAAATGTTTTGGTTGTACTTTTAAATTCTTTGTGGCATTTATATAATTATTTGAAATTTATTAATTATAAATTTCAACTTCTGGTCTTTGTGAAATATTAGTTCTAAATTTCTTACTTATGTCTTTAATGATAATTTTTTGCAGCTATGCACGAAAATACTACAGTTTGTGTTTTTTTTTTCTTTGAAAGATTTTTTGTAATTAACTCAATAAAATCAGTTTATAATATAATTTATAAGGTTATAATATATACACATATGTATGTAGTAGATATTTAAATTTATATTAATTAGTATATGTACCTAGAATCAAAATTTATGAAGATAGTCCATAACTATGTTTTACAAGCAGTTGGTTGAAATAACTGATAATTGTATTTCTAAGTTAGTTCAACTTTGCTTAGATATTTGCATACTATTTCACTGATTGTTGGTGTGGTATTTTGTTCCTTTTTTGTGTGTATGTGTCTAAGATTGTGCAATTCATTTTGGATATTCTTTGTAATAGATATATTTTTAATATTTTGCCATGACAAAATAGCTAATGAATCCTTTGTTGTTTTACTGATGCCTTTGAGTACCATCATGAGCCTGCTGCTGATGTACAGCTAAAATGTACTGCTAATGTACAGCTAAAATGATAATGCTTAGTATTCAAATCATTTGTTTTAAAATTGAGTTTTTAAAAATTCCTTGTTAAATTGCTAAAGAAAAACTTTCTTGTTTCAACTTTACAAGTTAACTTAGTGAAATAACCCCATTTTACCAATCAGTTTTCCCTATTATGCAATTCATGTCATTGTTATTAATATTATTTATGAAGTAAAAAAGCATTTGAAATCTAGGATGACTTTATTAGCTAATGCAGATTTTTAAAATTATATATATTGTTGCATTCTATGGGTCCATGGATTTGGAGTGGCCGATGGCAACACTTGATGAAGAACCAAATCACAATTTATTCTCCAGTTTTAAACAGGGGAGTTCCAAAGGCAGGTTTACAGTCGTTTAAAAAAAAACCACAATAAATACGCTGAAACAATCTGCAACTCAGCCTTCAGGCTACAATGGTGAAGACAGCTTTGTGGCAAAGCACTAAAGTACAGCTCTCAAGCTAATCTCTGAGCTCAAAACATTAATATTGAACTAAACAAACTCTACTACTACTCAAGATGCACTAGATACTCTTTGTACAGGCAGGGTGTATATAGCCTTTGAGAACATTCCCGGGAAAACCAGTAAGAATTCATTCTAGAATGTTCTCGCTCCGTCTATGGCATATTACCGATTTTGTGCCAGATCTGGCAATCCTATCCCCACTTAGCGGGGAAGCTATCTTAACCCTAAATGTACATTTCCTAATAATTAGTCAAGAGAGAGATGGGGTTTTTGATGCCTGTGTTGCAGTCATGAATTTTAGATGTTGATTTCTGAAGGGAGACATTGGCTTTAGCCATTGTTATGAACATAACATAATTATCTATATTTTCTAAATTGTACTTGTAAAAATTTCTAGCAATATAAACTAATACTAAATATGTCAATAACTGATTTTGTTGATTTCTAATTAAATTACAAAATGAAAGTCTTTAATGTTGAAAACATAAGTAAGAGGAATGAGAAGTATTCTGTTTTAAATTTTAATGTAAAATAATTATGCAATATAAGTTACTCTAAAATAATTATCAAGGTACAAGCAACAAACCCAAGTAACAGATCTGTCAATAGTGAGAATTTAGTATGAATATTATATATTTAAGATAGAAAAATATGTAAATCAGCTTTATAATTTAATTAATTTATAGCTTCTTAATTTATTTTTAATTTGGGTATTTTATTTCTCTTTTCTCAAAATAAAATTTCTGGACTGTGCCATTTCTAGATTAATCTACACCACAAAACTTGCATAGCGCTGATGACATGGTTGATTGAGAACCTGAACTGAAACGTTTCTAACATAAACTAAAACCTTTTCCTTAACAGACCGCCATATTGGATAAATGTGTACTTTTAGCTTCACCCTTTGTGCTGTTTGGACGCCACTGTGCTCTCTTTCTATCGCAATAGTATTAAAAAATGTAAATATTCTTGAACAGACTTGAGCGCTAAATGAATTGTGGTCACAAATGTGAATTTAAATAAAAATGAAATTTATTCCAGTTTGACTTCTCCCTCTTCAATATGGCTTGATGCTCTAACCATCAAGTATCTATGGCAAAGAACATTTCTATATCTCAGTGTTCCTACATCAGTACTTCTAAAATTTGCTTTCATTACATATGTATTTATGCAGAGTTCTCATTGCATTCTAAATAGATGTACTAAAACTTAGATATTTTTAGTTTATTTATTCAAGTATTTTTTTTTTTTTTTACATACTTTATTTCATGTTATTTTCTTTTTTATAGCTCAAAGGAGAACAAGAACCTCCCAAGAAGAAACAAAAATTAAATGCAAGCATTGGAATATTGCTTAAAAAATCAAATACAGCCCTTGTCAAAGTTAAAGACAAATCTGCCTTATCAAGTACTGTAAACTGTGGGACTTCTGAAAAGGTTTCTTTTAGTAATACGTCATCTACTGAACCTAAACAAAATGCTTTAAGCTTATTGGGTTCGTACTCTGGTAGTGACAGTGATTAAATGTACCAGTGATATCTGGTAGTGATAGTGATTAAATCTTTCAATGGAAATACAAAATGGAATTTGTGGATAAATTATACATGTTATCAAGAAAGTGAGAAATTTGGCATTGTATACAATATGTAAGTTTTAATATAATGCTGATAACACATGCATAAACTTTCCAGTATCACCAGAAGATTATTGTGAAGTATGTATGTAAAATATTAGTTTTGTACATAAATACTTATATAAGAATATATAAAGTTTTATCTTTTTCAATACTCATTTTTATCTGTTCTAAATTTTAATGTTTTGTTTTCAAAATCTAATTTAGAAAACTTAATCCAGTGTTTTAAAAAGGTTTGGACACCATGGCTTGTCATAAAGGTAGCCGGATGAAATGGTTAATTTTTCCTGTGTTGTAATTTTTTTGCATACAACATTTAATTTTTATTCATATTTTCACATATATTTCATAAAATAATAGAGTATATCTTATATATATATATATATAATATTTAGGGATAACTTGAGAGGAAGCTCCAGTTATTTTGCAGTCATGACCGAGATGTTGCTGGCATACAAGCAGGTTGTGTAATAGATGGATGGAATTTCAAAAACTACCAAATAGCTGGATATTCACCACATAATTGTATTTCTTGCTGAATAATTTCTCAGAACTCGTATATTTTTGGTTTACACATCACTATGGGTGCGACAGCACCCTTGTTTTATATACAGCTTATTACATTTTGAAACAGTAGATAGTACAGCAAAGCAATAAGATACTCTAGAAATAGGGATATATCCAAAATTCTTTTTTGCACACCGCTATGTTGTTGACAACGATATAGCATAGGGTTTCAACTGGCGATGCTACATTTCCTCCAAAAGATTGTAAAAACTGCAGTTCATGCATAAGATCTATACTGTTTATATCACTTTGATTTTTATCAGTTAATGCTTTTTGCAGTTTTTGACAAAAGTTGAACTGACCTTGTAAATTTATGTGAACGAAAATACGTGATGCCAATGCGTATGTAAGGGTACAGGGGGACTCCATATATGCATTCGACAAATTGCTTAGTTCTTATTTTGTGTCTACTGTTGCAATTGTAGATTTTTGCAATATTTATCTTTTTTGATTTTTATTTGGTGATTGCTTGTTGTTATTGTTATTCTATATAAAAAAAGGTAATACATAGTTACATATTATGTTAAACTTAGGTTAGCTTTTTAATTCAGAATACCGACAATTTGAGCATGATTACTTGGAATTTCCCCCCCCCCATGAAGCATTTGTTTATTAAACTAAAAATTATTATTTTTGAGAAGGAAGGATTGATATATTTACGGAGTACCAGTGAGGTTAAAATATACCTATTTGAGATTTGAAGTGAAGTAAAAACATACAAGGTATTCTGAAATAAAAAATTGGCCATTTTCCGATTTTTAGCTATACGGAAAACCGAAGGAAATGTTTCGTTATTTCATTACGTCTTAAATAAATATTTTAAATTTAATTTATTTACTTTAATAAACAGAAGAGTACCACCACCTCCTTGAGTTATTTTGAATTGATCTAATAGTTCATATATTGTCCAAGCAATGGTTTAAGATAAAGGGTCTTCAACCTTTCACACCCAAGGGCCACATCAATGAATTCACAAAAATCCGTGGCCCACATGTCTGTCAAAAAAATAGTATAGTCAGAAAATTTATATAAAAAATGACTACAATTTAATGTGACTTATGCAAGATTACAATTGATTCTAATTGAAGAGATAGTGTTACAGATTTGTACACTGGTTATCATAAATTAAAGAAAAATCACAAAAATCATGATTACTGAAAAAGTTACATGTAGAATCTAATGAAACTTACCTGCAATATACAACACATAATAAGGTATCAAATAACATAAAAAGAAATTACCAGACAAATATGGTAGGTTAGAAATTATCACATGTATAAAATGAACAAATCGAAGGTGTCAGTTTGCTATAGGAAAAGTACCTTCCATATGGAATATGGTCACCTCTAGAAGCAATACAGCACATACAGTGATGTGTGATGCTTTCAATTATGTGGTCTATCAGTTCCATAGGAAACGAAAGCCATTGCTCTTGCAAAGCAGTTGCAAACGCGACAAAAGTTTGAGGGGGCAGATTGAGAGCAGCTAGACGTCTCCCTAAAGCATCCCAAACGTGCTCGATAGCATTCAAGTCCGGGGATTGAGCTGGCCACTCCATGCGCATAACTGTTTTCTGTTGAAGATAATCATCTATGATGCGAGCCCTGTGTGGTCTCACATTGTCGTTCTGTAACAGGAAAGCATCACCTATTGCCCTGGCATATGGGCACACATAAACATCAAGGATGTCATCTCTATAAATCTGAGCATTCACGGTTCCCCTTGGAAAGACATGGAGGTCTGTGCGTCCACACAAAGAGAGATGCCACCCCAAACACAGACACTGCTCCGTCCATATGCATCTCTTTCACGGATGATAACGTGTTCTAAGTTCTCTCCATATCAAATAATGCTTACTATCGCTTTCTAGACTAAACCTGGACTTGTCCGTAAAGAGAGCCACCCTCCATTGATCAGGCATCCAGTGGACATGTTGTTGTGCCCACTGAAAACGGTCTCTCCTATGGCGTGACGTGAGCGGCACACAAATGCCTGGTCTCCTCGCATACAGACCACCTTCGTGAAGCCTTCTATGCTCAGTTGACATTGACACAAACCTTCCGGTGGCTGCAGCAAGGGAGGATCTAAGGAGAGTCGGAGTAGCGGTTCTATTCCTGCATGCACATAATGTCAAATATCGGTCATCGGCGCTCATCGTAGCAGTTGGCCGTCCTTGGCTGAACCTCCTAGATGCCGAATCTGTGGTTTGAAATTGCCTCCAAAGTCTATGAACCTCAGAAGGACTCACATTTAGCCATCTGGCCACTTCTGTTTGACTTTGTCCTGCCTCTAGTCTCCTAGTGGCTCTCCATCACAGTTCTACAGGCGAATGATGCCTGGATGTCATTGTTACGAATTGGCTATCTCAGATTTCTGATGTCTCTATCACAATGAAATATGTGGGCTTGCTCTCAAACATGGACTTCTATGCTCCTCGCAGATGACGTATTCGAAAGCAGCACCACTAATTTGCATATCGCAGTTTTACTCAGCTACTCTTACTTGGCAACATATTCAAATTTTACACGGTTTGGCTTATTTTTGAGGGAGTTATCGCTACTTTTGTGATTTTTCCTTAATTTATGATAACCAGTGTATATATATATACACTGATTCCAAAAAGGAAATCGAATTAAAATGTTTTAAATCTTTTTTAACTATGAAAAGAGTATAAAGGTGATTGTACAGAATGATGTTACAAAATGCATTTGAATTAAAAAAAAAGAGAAGAAAAACTTACATTACTGACAGGAGATGGTAGTTACTCTAGTTTTAATGTGAAATTTGACATTGTTTTACTTTATTAAAGCTTCAACATCCGGTTAAATCTGTGTTGTTGTAATTCGTAAAGTTTCCTTCAAATGTTTGTCTGTCAGCTGTGTTCTTGATTTTGATTTTAGGATTTTCATTTTACAAAAAAGCTGTTACTTTACTATCTTTGGTACTGCCAAAGATAGAAGGCATGAAGTGTGCACGTTTACGAATTCCTGGATACTTGTCACATACTTCGAATAAAAATCAATTAATGTAGAATTTTCAAGAAACTTGCATTTTACTGCAGAATCACACTGTAAATCTATAAATTCTAATTGAAGTTGAGTTGGAACTTGGTTTCGAGTTACATAAGAAAAAGTTAATTTTTTGAAAAATTTGTCATTTTCAGAAAATGTTATCTCAAATATCAGGCATGTCATTAAAATGTTTTAAATATCATTAATAAGAGGGAAAAAAAAAAAAAAAGTCCCCCCCCCCCCCCGACAAAAACCTGACAAGGCAATTATTCTTAAAATTCTTCAAATTCAAATGTGGCGCAACCAATATACCTTCAGCATGCCACGGGTTAAGACCTCTAGTTTACGATATACTCACTTTTTCAGAAGTAAGGTAAAATATTTCAAACAGTGACTTTTAAGTGTTTTTAAGAAGTATTTTATGCAATAGTTCTTCAAATAGATATTTTCTACTTTTATTTTTACTTCCACTTTTTTCTGTTTTCACTTTTCCCCGTATATCGGAAGAAAAACAGAAAAAAATGGCTAAATATCAGAATGTAATGAAGAAAAAGAAAGTGAGAGGAAGGCTTAATAAACCAAAACTGTAAAATTACTCAGTTTTCCCAAAACCCAAATAATACCCAAGCTGATGCTACTAGCACTAGTTATTCATCAACGTCTTAGCTACCATTGAAATTAGCGAAAGAACCTAATAATCACAAAGAGCTAGAAAGTGTTTTCACCTGGGAATTACCTTTAACTTCAATGCACCCAGTCGAAAAATACAGAAGAAATACTACTCAAATCTACAATTTCTGCAGTAGATACGCATTTGGCCTGTACCTGATGATTCCAGATTGTGCCCAAATCCATTATTGCCATCTTAAGTCTTAATAGAAAATGGCCCTGGATTATTACCAAAACCTGGTTTCGAGTTTCAGTTTCTCAAAAGACAAAAATGGACGTAATTTTTTTTAAATGTTCTTTTGTCGAATCTTGCCAAGCAACAAAAGAGTTAACCTCAATTTATGATTTTTTTAGAACAATTACAAAAATATAAACCTGTTAATTCGGAATTTCAAATTTTTTTAAAAAAAGAAACAAAGCATTAGCGCGATTTTATTGAAAGAATTATCTATGCCATTCAGTATTTAGCCAAACAAAACTTAGCCTTCCATGGTTCCAGTAACAAATTATTCGAAAGAAATAATAACTTTTTAAAGTGTATAGAAATTATCACGAAATTTGACCGTATCATGTCTGTATATATTAATAAAATTCAAACAAAAAAATTCTGCTCCATTACCTTATTGTCAAAATAAAGCAATTAGCTTAATAGGGAATAATATAAAGCAAATTATTTTAAAAAAGGTCAAACGTGCAAAACATTTTGCGATTTTACTTGATTGTACGCCTGATGCCAGGCATTAAGAGCGGATATCAATTTGTATCAAGTATCTTAATTTAGGAAATACGGACATGAGTATTGAAGAAAAGTTTTTAGTGTTTTGTATTACAACAGATACGAACAACATTCTTGATAAAGATTTTAGAGAAGAAAATGGTTTACATAGTAGTAATTTACGCAGCCAAGAATG